GACACTTCCATTTTTTGATGTATTTATCATCAATTTCGTTTATTTTTCAAATGAAATTCATCAAAATATATTTTGGAGCAGTAATGTATTATTATATAATTCTATTTTATCTCTTATCTTATATTTAACAATATCTTGAGTAAATAATAAATAACTATTTCTTTTCTAAATTCATCACTTCTTTTAATATTTTTATCTTCTTAAACAACATTTGTGATACAGTAAAATTGTTAAGAAGAAATTATACATACTCTTTTCCTCTTTAACGCTCTGAGTCATAACAGAAGATAAAAATATCTAGAAAATACTACAACAAAACCATAAGTTTTGTTTTTGTTCAAAAAAAACACAACAAATAAATTAAGTCGTACAAAAATTTGAAACGATTAAATAAAGAAGATATTCTTGGAAATACACTTAGATTTTAATGTTATAAAAATATAAAAAAATAGAAAGAACTAAAAAAGTTTAAAAGGAAAAAGAAATTCAAGATGGAAGGAATGAAACGTTTCTTTTTTGGAAATGTACCACCAAAAGGAACAGTACCATTTAACTCAAATCCTAAAAAGAAAAGTACTAACACAATACAAAAGAAAAGTTATAAAACTGATATAAAAAAAATTAAAGATGAACTTCAAGAATTAAGAGAAATGCTTCAAAGTAAAGAAATTGAAGAACAAAGAGAAGCGTTAAGAAGAATTGTATTGGCAACAGCAGAAGGAAAAGACTGTTCATTTATGTTTATGGATGTTTTAAAAATTATTCAAACTAATGACGTTTCTTTAAAACAAATGATTTATCTTTATATTTCAGCTTATGCAAGTATTGATGAACAACAAGCAATACTTGGAGTTAATTCATTAATCATTGATAGTAAACATCATGATGCACATGTACGTGGTTTAGCCCTTAGGACTATGGGAAATATTAGACTTCAAATGACTGCTGAATATTTTGTTCAACCATTATTAAATGGGTTAGATGATAATGACCCATATGTACGTAGAAACGCAGTTCTTGGATTATTAAAACTTCTTCATATTCCAAACACTTCTATTGATCGTGAAGCAATAGAAAAGAAATTTGTATTACTACTTAATGACAGTGATAGTTGTGTTGTAGCAAATGTTATTAATGCCATAAATGAATTACCTGAAATGCTTTATTTATTAAAATCACCTGAAACCATTAGTAGAATGATTGAATTAATAGATGGTGCTTCTGATTTTACTCAAGCTGTATTTATTAAATGTTTTACTAATTATGTTCCATCATCTTCTCAAGAAGCTGAAAGAATTACACAAAAAGTATTTGATAAAGGTTCTGTTACTAATGAAGGTGTTGTTATTGATACATTAAAACTTGTATTAAGATATCAACCATTTTTAAACACATCAAAAGTAGAAGAATATTTTAGTATTTTAGCAAATATTATAATGAAAATGAATGCATCATTAACAAGTTCAAAACAATATGATGTTTTATATATCTTTTATAGAAATATTAAACATTTCCTTTTCATTCAACGAAAACTTTTTGTGTCTCAACTATTTTGTTTTTATATTTCATATGAAGACCCAATTAATTTAAGAATAGAAAAATTAGAAATCCTTTTGTCTTTGGCTGAAGAAACTAATGTTAAAGATCTCTTAGATGAATTAACTGAAGACTCTTTAGCCTCTCTTGATTTTGCTCCAAAAACATTAAAAGCTATTGCTACATTAGTTACTAAATTTCCTAGTTTGGCTTCTCAATGTGTTTCTTCTATTATTCGTATTTCTAATGAAGTTCCTCAATTGAGTGAGTCATGTCTAGTTGCTTTATCTGAGATTTTAATTCATACTGATGGAATGTATTTAAAAGCTCTTCCTTTGTTATTAAATAATATAGAAAATCTTGAAAACATTGAAGCAAAATGTGCATTGATTTATCTTTGTGGAGAGTTTGTAACAAAAATTACAAATGCAAAAGAATTTATAGCTAAATGTATTGAGAGATATACTGACGAGTGTTTAGAAGTAAGACTAACTCTTTTAACTGCATGTGGAAAAATTTATTGTGAAGTTCCATTTACAGAAACTACTCAAAAAGTATTAGAAATAGCTATCAAATCTGTTGAATGTGATGAACGTGAACGTGCAGTATATATTTGGAGGATATTGAGTGGAGGTGAAAAATTAATTAAAGGAAAGACAGTTGGAATGGAAAAAGTTCTTGAAAGAAGAGAAATGTTAATGAACATTGGAAGTATTTCTACTGTATTAGAAATACCTAAAAAAGATATAAAATCATATTCTGCACCTAAAAGAACAATTAAAAGTATTGTTGGAGATAAAGAAAAACAACAAGAATTAGATGAAAAGAATAAAGAAATTTATGCACAATTGAAACAAAAAAGAAACCAAGGAAATCAAAAAATTTTGAGTGTAGAAAATGAACGTATTAATAGTTTGATTAGTGTATCTAACAATATACACCAATTTGATATTGATGGAATGATAATTAAAAAAGAAGGAAAATTATTTATGAAAATGAGAATTAAAAATACTTCTGGTGCTGTAATTAATGGACTATTTATGCAAATCAATAACAATTCATTTGGATTATCTTGTGGCACTTTTGATAAAACAACATTACAAGTAGATGAAATTTATTCAACTGATTTACCATTAT